TAATTATAATATTATTATAATATCATATTATATGATAAAATAATAATATTAGAGTTATTAATATAATTATAATATTATTTATTACAATATTATATTATATTATATTATATTACGAGTCTGAATTTTAAATTGGGAAGGTTATAAATTTTAAATTTCATTAAGGGTATTATGAGCATTATGAAAGTTTCATTAATTGTATTATACTGATTCTCGCACAATCTAAAAGTTAAAGTTGTCTTTAGGCTGCTTCTGATTTTGGCCGTAGATTCTTAAAAAATTCTTCAAAAAGTGCTTTTGAAAAAATTTATTAAACACTAAAATCAACTTCTGTTACAAGCAAAAGCTGATTTTGAGATGAAAAAGCAGTACTAAGCCAATAACTGTTCCCATGTGCCCTTTTTCCCTTCCAACAAAGAAGAGAAACCATTAAACCAAGGAAAATAGTAGAAAATAGGCCAATATGAAAAGTTTAAGAAAGTATATAGGTTAATTTTTAGTTATAGAAATTAATAGACTATAACTTGTCAAGTTATGGTTTATAACAAGATAAGTTATGGACAAACTTGTCAAGTTATGGTTCATAGTCAGACAAGTTATAGACAATTATGGATAATAACTTGTCAAGTTATGATTCATAACCAGATAAATTATGGACGAAAACAATAATTTGACCTATTTATTAACTCATATAAACTATTAACCTATTAATTTTAATTCATCTCAAATTTTAACATATTTTCCTCTTTCTCCCTTAAACCAACTGCTGAATCCATTCTCCCTCTGCTTTGCCAAAACCAAGTAACTGGTCCAGGCCCATTTCATGGAATACTGGGCCTTTAATGCAGCCCACCAACTAAACCGCTCAGCTGTCATCTTCTTCGTCCTCTCTCTCTCTCTCTATCTCTAGTTCACAGCTTACACTTTACAGCAACCACAGCACTGATAACGTTCCAACTAATCGACAGTCGACAAACCACCATTATCCTCTCCGGTGCAATTCATGGCGATCCAATGTCGCTGTTTCTAAGAAAACCCACGAAGCTATCTCTCTTCCTCCGCCGAATTCCACACTCCCAACCCAGCTCCTCCTCCTCCGATCATGGCCAACTCCACCGGCGCTTCTCTGCCGAGCTACGCCATGCCCATCGAGGACAGCGACAAAAACGGCAAGTCCGATTTCCTCGTGGTGGCTCTCTGCCCCTGTCTGGTATGCCTCATTCTTCTCCTCATCGTGATATCCATCGTTCTTGCTGTCAAGTTCCATTTATTCTGTCACACTCCGCTTCATTCTCTGCTCTACAAGAACAAATGCCACTAAAGTTTGGAATTTTATCAACGAACCATGATAATTCGCATGAAAAAACGGTCAATTTTTATAAATTCTATCGGGGGTTTTGTAGTTTTTCTGGTAGTGATAATACTGATTCTGATGCTGAAACGGATGCTGAGAGTTGCGATGGTGACGAGAGAGGCGAGGATGAAAGGGAGTCTGTGGGGTCCAGTGCGGATCCGAAGGAAGTTGATAGAGTCTGCAAGGTGCTCGACGAAATGCTTGTGTTGGATCGGAACATGGAGGCGGTTCTTGACGAATGTGGGATTCATTTGTCGCATGATTTGGTTGTGGATGTGTTGGAAAGGTTCAGACATGCGTGGAAGCCAGCTTTTCGATTCTTTTATTGGGCCGGTGGGAAACCGGAGTTTGTTCATGATTCTAGGACTTACAATTCCATGATGAATATATTAGGGAAGACTAGACAGTTTGAGACTATGGTGTCTATGCTGGAAGAGATGAGAGAGAAAGGAGAACTGACAATGGAGACTTTCATGATTGCCATTAAGGCTTTTGCTGATGCTAAAGAGAGGAAAAAGGCTGTTGGGATGTTTGAGTTGATGAAGAAGTACAAATTTAAAGTAGGTGTAGACACTTTTAACTTCTTGCTTGATACTCTTGGTAAGGCCAGGCTCGGAAAAGAAGCACAAGTGCTTTTTGAGAAGTTGAAAGGAGGGTTCACACCAAATTTACAGACTTATACCGTGCTGCTTAACGGCTGGTGCAGGGTGAAGAATTTGATGGAGGCCGGGAGGTTGTGGAATGAGATGATTGATGCGGGGTTTAAACCTGATGTTGTTGCACATACTATTATGCTTGAAGGGTTGTTGAGGAGTAAGAAGAGGTCTGATGCAATCAAGTTGTTTGAGGTCATGAAGGCCAAGGGTCCACGGCCCAACATTAGGTGCTATACGGTTTTGATCCGGGATTTTTGCAAGCAAGGAAAAATGAAGGAAGCGGTTGAGTGCTTCAATGATTTGCTTGAATCTGGAAACCAGCCCGATGCTGCAGTTTACACTTGTTTGGTCACGGGGTTTGGCAATCAGAGAAACATGGACATGGTGTTTGAAGTTTTGAAAGAGATGAAGGAAAAAGGGCACACACCTGATGGGCGGCTGTACAATGCCCTGATTAAACTAATGACCAGCCGGAAAATGCCTGATGATGCAGCAAGGATATACAAGAGGATGATACAAAGTGGTATTAAACCAACAATCCACACTTATAACATGATGATGAAGTCCTACTTCCAAAGAAGAAATTTCGAAATGGGTTGTGTTGTGTGGGATGAGATGATTCAAAAAGGGTGTTGTCCTGATGATAATTCATATACTGTTTTTATCGGAGCGCTTATAAGGCAGGGAAGGTCAGGAGAGGCATGTAAATATATAGAGGAAATGATAGAGAAGGGAATGAAAGCTCCTCAGCTTGATTATAACAAGTTTGCAGCTGATTTTTCGAGAGCTGGTAAACCTAACATACTGGAAGAGTTGGCTCAGAAGATGAAGTTTGCAGGCAAGTTTGAAGTTTCCAATGTGTTTGCAAGGCAGGCTGAGATGATGAAGAAAAGGGTTCAGAGAAGAGATCCTATTAGAGCTGATGGCAAGTGTAACTAAGTTACTTGCCGAGGGCCAATGAATATTTTCGTTTATGGCTTATGCCTATAAGAGTGAAGTTTGAAAATGTTGTAACTCATTGGTTATTGCCTTGTCATTAAATAGCCGTCTGTGTTCTGTATCATACGAGTTATTACATTCTCATAGTTTGGTTTGGTATTTTTTTCCAACTGGTTGAAGATTATTCCTTCACTTTTTTGTATTGAAATCGTGAAATTTTTTATTCTGTTTTCCCCAAGATTTGTTTCAGTTTAGCTTCGTTTAATTTCAATTCAATGTTGTGTATTGATTTCTTTTGTGCTTCAACCTCCTTGTCACTTTCTTTATATGGGGGTTATGAGTTGTTTTGTGATCCATGGAATTGTCATTGGAAATTCTCTTCTTGACATGCGGTTCCACCTCGGAGCTCTTTCCACTGCCAGTTTTGCAAATGCCCTGGTAGCTGAAACTTTATTTTATTTTCAAGGAATAAACTCAAAAGTGCTTCTTTGTGACAATAACTCAGTAAGCTTGAATGAAACGTACAACAAACATGTAGTGCCTGGTGATGCCTTCAAATCCATGCTTCGGAATGCTGGCGATGAAAGAAAAGGAATGTAAGAGGTTATGAAATGGACCCCAAGAACTATTCCCAGAGTTCGTGTTGATCAATCAAAACTTTTGAGCCTTTGTTGTTGTTATTGTATTTATTTATTTTTTTATAAATTGTATACAGATATGGATGGAGCTTTGAGACTTCATTATACATACAAGACAAATGAGGAAAGGTTGTTGAAACATTTTACAACTTAAAAATATTCATTTTTTTTCCTTTTTTCTATTCTTCTGCTGTTTTTAATTGAAAATATGTTATTAAAATACAGTTTATTTTAGTTTTGTCCCAATAAAATACTTTTTTTTTTCAAATATGTTCTTATAAATATGCTATACTCATTTATACATTTATAATATCATATCAAAACACACATCTGAAGGAACACATTGTGTACATCTACTAAAATATTAAAACAATGTTACCCAGGAGAACCCAACAGAGTACCCAGTACTCTGTTGGGTCAAGCTCTGGTACTTTGCAATACATTTTGTTTTTTTGATATTCGGATACACCTCCATAATCTAACTGTTGGGTTAGAGAGCATAAAAACTGTTGAGTATGCTATTTCTAAATTAGCATGAAAAATCAGGGTCTTAATTCCACGAGACACTAAGGGTAAAATAGTAAATTTAGAATTGTAGAATTCTAAATTATATCACTCAAAAATTCAAATAATTAATTAAAAATTAATTATATATTAAATAATGTGATTATTTAATTTGATTTTGAAAAGTAAAATGTAATAGGACCACATAGGCCACATGCCCAGTCACTGGGTGCAAGGGGATGTGGTACAAGAAGAATCTAAAGATGCAACAATGGGCCGGGGCCCGTGGGCTGACCCAGGCCCATCCCGACACAATGACAGGCTAGGCCGGCATGGCCCGCCACTGTTCAAGGCACGACCTAACCCATAAATATTGGTGGGCTGGGCTGGGCCAACATATATTGGCCCATGGGCCGGCCCGACACGGCCCATGAAAAATCATGGGCCAGACCTGGTTGGGCCGGCCCAGCCCGGCCCGTCTAGGCTCATAATGAGCCGGCCCAGCCCAGCCCATTTAGGCCCATAATATCTTCATGTTTTTTTTCTTTTTTTAGTAATTTTGTAAGCATCTTATGTATAATTATCATGATTGTACTCTTTTTTCCTTACTAAGGTTTTGTCCTACTGGGTTTGCTTAGAAAGGCTTTTATTTAATAAGGTAATCGTAAATAAAATATCCCTTTTCATATTTCTATTGACTATTCAAACTTATATATTTGTTAACTTGTTTAAAAATTCAAAAATAAAAAAAAAATAAAAATTGAAAATTGCATGCTTAGATGGGCTGGCCCATCTAAACCCATGATGGGCCAATGGACCTTGAGTGGGCCAGCCCATTCAAGGCCCATGGCACGGCCCATCTTGGTCTGCGGCACGGCCCAACCTAGCCCACGTAAAATTGGCCCGTGGTGTGGGCTGGGCCGAGGTCATTCTTATATGGGCTGGCCTGGCCCGGCCCGGCCCATGAAATTCGTGGGCTGGGCCGGCCCGGCTCGTTTTCCTTAGGCCCACGCGGGCGGCATGGGCCTAAGGAGAACGAACCGGGCCGGCCCGTTCTTGCATCTCTGGAAGAATCCCACTTGGATTCGCTTGCTTGCTCTCTAAGTTATCCTTTTACTTATTTGACAAAATGTCCAATTGAAATTCAAATTTAAGGAAAGTTTGACTTTAATTAGAATTTGAATTTGAGTCCAAATTAAAAATTGGAAAAAGAGAAATCTCCCCCTTCCTTATTTGCTATAGGCGCCACACTGTGGTGGCTGAATTTTACAAGGAAAATAAAGAGAAAATATTCCAAAATTCCAATGGGAAACTATTTCTAAATTTTAGGAAACTCCATCTAATGTGATAAGGTAAACTTTCTATATAGGTCTAGGAGACACTTTATAAATAGAGGATTGCAGAAAATTAGAAAACATAATTTTCTAATTCTCTTATGTGATAGACGTGTAACATATCAGTTATGGGCGTGTAACATTTTGTCATACATCGTGTAACATGTTAGTGACCGACGTATAACTTTTTCACTCACTTATTTGCGGCTGGCATGTAACATGGCTATTATAGGCATATAATACGTAGTTGGTTAGTATGTAACCTTGCAGCAGTGGGCTTGTAACATTGAACATTGAGAGAAAAAGAGAAGAAATGTTCTTCTATTCTCAGTTTCATATCGTACGTGTGTTGATGTTTGTGAAAAACTTGTAAGGTGAGTGATAACATTTATTGTGTTTTCAGGTGTGTCCACACACACAGTCTCGTTAGAATACAAGAATTGATGAGGAAGTCTTGTGGTAGTCTGAAGAACAGGAGTACTTAGATTGTTCGTGGTCAGCGATTAGAGTTATCCTCATAATCGTTCGCAAAGTATAATTCCTTAACTAAATTAATTAAATTAATTTATTCGTTGTAAATTGATATATTCTACAGCGTTCATAAAAATTTTATGAAAATTTTTGTTCAGACTCAATTCGTGTTTGCACACTTCTGCACCCGAATTCAATTCAGAAACTAACACGATATATATATATATATATATATATAATTTTTATTTTTGCAGCGCTAGTCTACGTTCTATGAATAAATCTACATAGTTATTTAAACTATAATGCTTTTGCAGATTTTCCCGCTAATTTATTTAACAAATGAGACGACTTTAGAAAAATAGCTTGATTGTAACAAGCTTGCAGCTGATTTTTCGAGAGCTGGTAAACCTGATAGACTTGAAGAGTTGGCTTAGAAGAAGTTCGTCAGGCAAGTTTTAAGTTTCCAATCTGTTTGCAAGAACTCATGGCAAGTGTACACGAAGTAACTTGCCGAGGGCCAATCAATATTATCGTTTATGGCTTTGCCTATACAAGTGAAGTTTGACGTTGTTGTAATTAATTGGTTATTGGCTTGTCCCTAAATAGCCATAGGCTCGTGTTCATTAATCACTAGAATAAATAGGAAATAAGACGAAGATAAGACGACGGTTAAAAGCATTGTTAAAAGATATAACGGCGGTTTAAAAATGGCTATCGTATCCAAAGTCGTTAAATGTTTAAGAGATACGACGGTTAAAAACAGTCGTCTAATACACAACGCTCAGGATTTCAAAAAAGACACATTAGATATATGATAAGGCGCATTAATTAGTTTACTATATACAGTGAGACGTATGATATAATTGATAGAGCTACTTGTCCATACCTCAGAGAGAGTGATAGAATATAGCTTTAACCGTCAAGATGGAAAAGGAGATTAGGACTAATGCTTTGCCGTGACAAAGGAAAAATTCAGACTCACATAAAAATTGGTAGAAAGTATAAGTAAAGGTCACGGAACCTACAAAAGAGCATTTTTATACATTAATATAATCTCGCACTGGCGCAAATACTTCCATACAAAGATTAGGAATATATACACACACTTTTTGAACATAACAAGGAAAGAATAAGCCACGTGGAATGTCCATGAATATCAGGGAAATAGATATAAAGAGAGCTAGGGACGATTTGGCTCACTTTTGTTTTCCTTGTATTAGAGCTTGCTACCAATGGCAACGAAGAAATTCAAGGGACTAATATTGATCTTCAGTTGTTTTTGTGTGCTTTTGGTTTCAAATTCATTCGCTGTGGGTGAAAGAATCACCCCTAGAAAGAAGGTACGCAGCTATATTTTTATATATCCACCTAAATGTCTTTGATGATATATATATATATATGCGCGCGTGTGTATATGTGTATACACACACTGGGACGAAAAATCGATCATTCGAATGATCGTAGAGGATATCCTTCATTTTCAATCATGGAAGTCTTGAGGTGACTTAAATAAGAAGGCTTGGTCTACTATCTATAGCACTTCAATCTATATAAATTGAAAATATCAACTCAACAAAACTGTATATATTTATTAAAAAAAAAAAACCCAGGAAATTTTTCGCAGAACTTAGGTAATATATTACACACACATATTATGTATATGTATATATCATTTCATAGATAAATCTACCACCGGCAAGCTAGCTAGTGAATAAGGGAATATTTTGAACCTGGTTAAGATTCTTAAAAGAAGTATTTTCTAACCATTAGTTTCTTTCCTTTTTTTTTTTTTTTTTTTTTTTTTTAAAAAGTTGCTGAAAAATTGTGCCTACACCGTTACCATTGAAACAACATGCGCAAAGGGAGCTGAAACCTCAAACCACATCAGCCTGAGATTCGGCGACACAAATTCAAACGACGTTTTGGTAAAGCATCTGAATTCGAAGCATGTGAGAAAACTGGATCCTTTGGAGCCAGAAGTCCTTGACGATGTGCCCAGGAAGCCATTTCAGGCTTGCACGGTTGACCAATTCCAAGTCAAGGGTCAGTGCGTTGACTCGCCGGTTTGCTATTTGTATCTCAAATTGGCTGGAAGTGATGATTGGAGACCCGGTTTGGCCCAAGTTAGAGTGTTGGAAGGCTCTAATCTCAGCTCTAATTTCTTTTATTTTCGGAGGTACTTGCCACGTAACGTTTGGCATGGATTGGATGTATGTGACAAAGATGTCACTCCTTTTGGAATAAAGCGCAAGAGGAAAATATTGGGTGGAAAAAGACACTAAAATGAAGTTATCATGATCGGTTAATTTCATGTATTGATTTTTATGGTTTGCTTTTTTTTTTTTATATATAATTTATTTATGAAGCTTAGACTAATTACTACAATGTATACTTTGTTGAACGTATTGATAAGCTGGTCTAGAAATATTTTGTAACTTTGTGTTGGGGAAATCATTAGCAAAATAATGAATTATGATCGTTATTTAATACATCATCACTTATTGATCAGACCCAACAACTATACAATTATCACTAGATTTTATCCAGACCTAATTAATCTAACGGCTTGATAGCTATTATTACGTTTTTTTTTTTTTTTTTTTATACAAGGTAGAAACGACGTCATATATTTATATATAATATTAATCATTTAATCTAATGGTAGCAATTATCAAGTCATCTATGTTAATTATCTCTGATACTTGTACATATATGCGCGCAGCGTTTTTTTTATTTTTATTTTTTTTCCCTCCCTGGAGTTGTTAAGAAAGTAATATTACTGGTACTTGTATTTAACTTGCTTCTTTTTTGTTTTGTTCACTCAATCCATTACTCCCCCCGTTCCTTATCGAAAATGCCTCTCAATTACATATGCGAAAAAATTGTGAAATTTCGTACACTTAAAAAGATAGAATGGAAATAATGAATGAGTAAAGCATATTAAAAAAAGTTGGCCCCGTTCAATTAGTATGTATATCAAATATCCGACATAAATCAGACATCTCTAATCAATAACCCCGTGATATAACTTAAAGGTGCGTTTGGAATTCGTTTTAAAATGATTTTGGTTTTTGTATGAAAATAAAAATAAAAACGTTTTCAATCTCATACATAAATCATTTTTAAAAATACATTTGGTAGTTTTATTAAGAGATTGTTTTCAGTGAAAAAAACCCATTAATGTCTCTCTCTCTCTCTCTCTCTGCTCGAGAGAGGAGAAAACGAAAATAAAAAAAATGAAAAACGACTAAAAGTCTTTTTTCATTTCTCCCTCATTTTACACTAAAATAAAAAATTGTTTTCATTTTCGTTTTTTATTTTTATTGCATTAAACGCCGTTTTGAAAATATTTTCATTTTTTTTCTCGAAAAACGTGAACAACAAAAAATTCTAAACACGGTCTAAGGCCCCGTTCACTTCGCTGATTCGAGTTTAGAATTCGAGTTTTTCTACAGTAAAAAGCTCTCACAAACAATCACATCTAACTTTTTTGCTACAGTAAAAAGCTCTCACATAAAGTCACATCTCAACTCGAATCAACGAAGTAAACGGGCCTTAGTTTGCTCTGACCTATTAGATAAAAGTCCTACAGACTCATGTACCAGAAATTCTGTTACAACAAATGTAATTACTAAAAAGTAGAATTAGATATCAGCAACGGTAAACGACAGTAAAAAGGTAAGCAATCTTTTGATTGCTTAACTACTATTAATTAGAAGCTCCAGAACTTTATTGATACTTTCGGACGACAAAGAAGAAAGACTTTAATACTATACCATGAATAGAAGTGTAAAAAAATAAAAAGAGAGAAAAGCAAAACATTAATGGTGGGGTTTGTAGCCTGTACTAAAATTAAGTGAGTTCTTAGATACATCACTTTACAAGTTTTCTTTTCCAACCACAACTAAATGTACGTCCTGTTTCAATAAAAATAATAAAAAAGATAACTAAATGTATGTACGTCCTGTGACAACTCATTATAAAGTTTTTTAATTGCATTTTTATTTTCGCAGTATTTTCACATTAAAATTTATGAACAGTGAGTTTTAATCCATTCGTGTGAAACAAAAACAAAGAAACAATAATTGAAAAATAGACAGGGAACTGCCTTTAGCTTATATTGTATTGTCATTTTTAATAGGGGACAAACAATATATAAGTCTTTGCCAACCATTCAAGTAGGGTGTCAATTCGTATTGCGTGTCGTGTTTGTACCGTGTCAGTTTTTTTTAGAGCGACCCGTACATGACCCGCGACACGAAAATATTGAGAACAACCGACACGAACACGACACGGTCATGTTGCGGGTTCACATGACACGAACCGAAAGTGACACGCGACACAAAATTGACTCGCGAACTAGTGACACGACACGAACTAAAAGTGACACGCGACACAAAATTGACCCGCGGACCCGAGACACGACACGAACCTGTTGAACCAAAATTGACACGAAATTGTAGATTTTAAGATGTTTTGTACATATATTAAAGTTTATAACATGTTACAGATATCATTTATTGATAAAATCCTTCTAAAATAATAACAATTAATTAACAAAGTATCATAGCTCATAATTCATAAGAAAACATCATAAGATCACAAATTCAACACCAAAATAATAAAACATTAGTCATACCATAGGCAAACAAGTTAATAAGATAACAAGCCTAATCCCCAAAATACCATAATCCTACTAGAAAACATAGTTCATAAGACTCACACCAAAGTCCAAGCACAGATAATAATGTTCCAACAACAAAGTCCAAACTTAAATCTAAATAATAAAGTTCCATCAACAATAAAGTTTAAATGGATGCAAAAGAAAACATCACATGAAACCTACATAACAAAGTCCCAACAAGACTTGAGGGCGACTCTGTGTGTGTGAGGATATATATTATATGTATTTTTTTTAAAAAATTTTCCTACGGGTCATTACGGGTCGTTTTGGGTTAGACCTGAAATGGAATTGCGGGTCGTTTTCGGGTTGTACGGGTTCAACCCGAAATTGACCCGATTTTCCATGTCAAATTCGAGTCGACCCCATTCCGACCAGCACCCCAATTTTTCAACCCTAACCCGCGATTTTCGTATCGATTTCGATTCGTGTTGTTGTGTCGTAGCCCGTATTGCCGCCCCTACATTCAAGAAAGTCGACCAATCAGCGCGTGAGATGCCTTGACAACCATTTGGACAAAACTATGCCGTTTTCAAGAAAATAGTATGGTTGATAAATATTACGAAACTTGGTACATGCAAATTGTTTCGTTGATCATTTTGCTTTTGGTACATGAAATTAACCTCTAAGAAGTTAATGTTTAGAGTTTCTAACTTCACCAGAGATGGAGAAGCAAAGTTTGTTACAAATGGAAACATGACATTGAGGACGAATGCATATATACATATATATCTATCTTTCAACGAGAAAATATTTTCTCAAAGAGGATTCGTTGATTTAGTACGGATATACGGTGTTACTTTATAAGATATTGGAACCGCCTTAATAGTATTATAATATGCGTGGAGAATTCTAGGATAGGGTTTTATATATCATCTATTTTAGACTTATTCAAAAAGTCTTGTAAATGTACGCCATCAAATTATGACATTGAATAGGTAAATTTGTTTCTTTTCTTGGTAAATTGGTCAACACTCGATTTTGACATTTGAAATTATCAAATTAAATATAACGGTTGTGATCCTAAGTTTATTATTATTATTATTATTATTATTATTATTGCAAATGTTTACTATCACATCACTCTCACCATGGGTAATTTGATAATTTCATAAGTTATAATTGAGTATTAACCGTGAAACACGTTTGTCTATTAAATAAAATATGATGGTATACATTTACAGTAATTATTATTATTATTTTATTTGCTATATACACTTTTTGACTAAATCTAAAATAGAAAGTACAAAAACCTCTATGAAAATATACCCTACCAGTAAGGTTCTTTTTCAAATAATTAACTCTTAGATTTATACTAAGTTTTGTTAGATTTGCATTTTTTTTTTTATTTTGATGTGATTATTTATTCGAAGCTAACGATTAGAAATATCAGTAAGGCTAAGAGCGCCGAACTTAAAAAACTCTTAATAATATGTATATATATATCTCATATAATATTCCAACCATATATATGAAAAAGCATAATCATTATTAATATCCTTAATCTCTAATTATAAAGTATGGCTGACATGCTAAGAGCTATTCTGACAATGAAATGTCGCTATATACCATCTCAAACTAAATTCAAAAGCTGCACTTGAGACTTTCGACCTGCTGTGCAATGTTGAGGTAGAACTAATAAGCTGCACGTACTACAGCAAGCGCATTCAATTTCCCATTCTTCTATTGGAAAAATATTGGGACCATATGAATAAATTTATATTAAGACTGTACCTCAATCTTTGTTCAATGTCCCAAGAAATCATGATCAGTTTTAGAACGGCTCCAAAGTCTTCTATGTCCAGGAAGTGACATAGACTAGTCACTTGCTTGCCACTGTTAACAGGCATAGTGGTCTAGTTTTCTTAATAAAAAAGGGCTGCCTTGTCTCCTTATAACGATGTTGCATTTGGCCTTTTCCTCACGTGGCAGGCATTTTATGAAGTAAACCCCTTTTCTTCTAACAGTGGAAAAAACCCAACCAAAAAAAAAAAAAAAAACCAGAACAAAACAGGTGGAAAATGCCATGTATATATAGGGATCAATTTTTTTTTCTTTTTTTTTTTTGTTATTTCCGTGACAAAATTATGATGAAATGATGGGGGAAAGTTAGGGGGGCCGGTGACTGGTCAGATATTGGCCAACAAACAAATACCACAAAGAGACAGAAAAATAATGTCCAATCAGTACTGTTGATCTATCGCTGGACCAATATATATGCATGATCATGAAAAACGTTACAATAAGAAGCACTTCATTATTTGGATCAGTACCATAAATATACCAATTATATAAAAATCTTCATCTTGTTGATTAGATGGGACTTGTTTTTTTTGGGGTAGATCACTTGTCTGTTTTTGGGGAGGGACATTGTTGGAAGATGGAGTGGTAGTGGGAGAGTAGTGACTATTGACATGACAGTTAAGTTAAACTTTGCAGGTTTTTTTGGGAATCCTATTGATGATGATATATATATAAATATATGTGTGTGTGTGTGTACGTATATGTGTGGTAAACTGTAAAGATAGGGTCGGAATCACAGAGATATATACAAGTATTGTTTTGTGTGTGTGACCTTTCACTCCAGGGCGTGCATGGTTAGCCTCACGCCACATTTATTGGTTTCGTTTTGTTTTCTCAGTTGTTGCCATCGCCAACCCCAGCTCCGAAATAGTATTTAAA